CCTGATTGCTGTCCTCTTCTCTCTCTCTTCCCCCTTCTCTCTTCCCTCTTCTCCCTTCTCTTAGCTCTCTTCTCCCCTGTTTAAAGAGAGGAAAAAAAAAAAAAATTTCAAAACGATATCGTTTTGAATTTTGAGCCAATTTGAGCCTCAAACTATTCGGGCTACCAATATTTTTTTGGCAAATTAATATACTAATCAGTTGACATTTTATTTTACAAAAAAAGAAAAAAGAAAAAGAAAAATTACTGAAATAGAGTGAAGTGATATTTTGCATTTTTAACACCCAGGAGCAGGAGGGAGGGCAAATACGAAGGAAAGTAGGGAGGGAAAATACGCTCATTATAGAATTACTAACCTTATCGTGCGCCTTCTTACTTATAAAATTTCTCAATCCTACTTTCTTTTCACTGGTTGCTCTTGCTTTTGTTTGAATCCTGATTCCTGTGATCACTACTCACTCACATTGGAAATCTCGAATCTCTAAATCCTTTGATCATACATAGCATAGCAGTAGTGAGTTCATAGCTTTGAAACCTGTCTCTGAATGTATACATTTTGTGTATATTTTACTTTTATGTATGCAAGTAAGTGTGCATTTAGAAAGACAATGAATGAACGAGTGTATGATCTGTTTATATTTGGTTAATAGGAAAAGGAAAAGGAAAAGGAAAAAGAAGTGGAATGGGGAGAAAGAAGAGTGTAGGGGATCTAAAGGAAGTTGATTTGAAAGGAAAGAGAGTGTTTGTGAGGGTTGATCTCAACGTTCCTTTGGATGACAATTTCAACATCACCGATGATACCCGCATCCGAGCTGCTGTCCCAACCATCAACTACTTGATGCCTTATGCTTCCAAACTCATCCTCTGTTCCCATCTGGTAACCACCAAACCAACATTCTCCTCTCCTCCTCAAATATTACTACTCTTTTTCTTTTCTTTGCTGTGTCATGGTTTGGTTATTCATCTTTTCTTTCACTTTTCCATTTTTTTTGCTAAATTTATGGGTCTTTTGTTTTTTGAGATACAAAATAGCTTCATCTTCGATTCTAGTGTCCCTCAAGCGTGGACGATCTGAAACGCAGAGTTCTACATAATCGATCAGCCCCTCTTCGCCAGAGCCAATCAAGAAGAGGCATCGCCATGAGAAGAAGAAGGCCCAACGTAGGAAGATATTCCACTTCCAATGCAGATGTTCAATATTCCATGCGAACGGATGTATCAAATCACATCCACTGAAGAGAAAAGATGCTATCAGGGGTCTTCTACGACACTTTGAGTAACTCGATGTGGTTCAGAGCCGTAGACATGTCCCGACCTGGGAATCACGGGGTTTACAAGATAGAATGCCTATTCAATTACAACCTCCGGAAAGCACTGGGAGTCTGGACGTTCACCGCGACAATGTATACATGGCTGACATACAGTGGTCAATAATTTATAGGGCTAATAATTTCAAAGCTGGATAATTTGTTCGTCATCCTGCGTGCAATAAGCCGGGTAAATACATTCTTCGTCAGGCTTCTGAGACCACTGTATGTCAGCCATGTATACATTGTCGCGGTGAACGTCCGGATTCCCAGTGCTTTCCAGAGGTTGTAATTGAACAGGCATTCTATCTTGTAGACCCCGTGATTTCTAGGTCGGGACATGTCTATGGCTCTAAACCACATCGGGTTGCTCAAAGTGTTGTAGAAGACCCCTGATAGCATCTTTTCTCTCCAGTGGATGTGATTTGATACATCCGTTCGTATGGAATATCGAACATCCACATTGGAAGTGGAATATCTTCCTGCGTTGGGCCTTCTTCTTCTCATGGTGATGCCTCTTCTTGATTGGCTCTGGCGAAGAGGGTCTGATCGATTGTGTAGAACTCTGCGTTTCGGATCGTCTACGCTTGGAGCCCGGCGTGCTCATGTTTATCTAAAAAATCTCTGTAACTAGAATCGGCTCTAGGGTTGCATAATATAATACTTGGAATTCCGCCTTTTATTTTCTTTGGGCGGGCATATTTACAATTTGAAAAAAATTCCCGTTGCTCTCCAATAAATTTCCTCCAATGTTCAAAATATTGTGGGGCCACATCATCGATTATGTTGTAAAAAGCGTCGTCATTGTGGTCCCTCAAGTCGATGTGGCCAAAATAATAATTATGCGGCCCCAAAGACCGGGCCCAACATGTTTTTCCAATTCTAGTTGGGCCTTCAATTATAATCGATGATGTAGCCCCCACAATATTTGAAACATTTGAGGAAATTTATTGGAGCGCAACGGGAATTTTTTTCAAATTGTAAATATGTCCGCCCAAAGAAAATAAAAGGCGGGATTCCAAGTATTATATTATGCAACCCCGGAGCCGATTCTAGTTACAGAGATTTTTTAAATAAACATGAACATGCCGGACTCCAAGCATGGACGATCCGAAACACAGAGTTCTACGCAATCGATCAGCCCCTCTTCACCAGAGCCAATCAAGAAGAGGCATCGCCATAAGAAAAAGAAGGCCTAACGCAGGAAGATATTCCACTTCCAATGCGGATGTTCGATATTCCATACGAACGGATGTATCGAATCACATCCACTGGAGAGAAAAGATGCTATCACGGGTCTTCTACGACATTTTGAGCAACCCGATGTGGTTCAGAGCTGTAGACATGTCCCGACCTGGGAATCACGAGGTCTACAAGATAGAATGCCTGTTCAATTACAACCTTCGGAAAGCACTAGGAGTCCGGACGTTCATCGTGACAATGTATACATAGCTGACATACAGTGGTCTCAGAAGCCTGACAGAGAATGTATTTACCCGGCTTATTGCACGCAGGATGACGAACAAATTATCCAGCTTTGGAATTATTAGCCCTGCAAATTATTGTCTCGCACTAACCATTGTACTCGACGAGCTTGCATATTATGTAAAAGATTGGCGGTGGGAAAATATTTATGTACATTTTCACGATTAAATAATAACATGTCAAGTTATATTTAATTAATGTGATTATTGTTTTGGATCATAAACAATAACATAAATGGGCCCAATTAAACTGCTGCAAATTAACAGGCCCAGAGGTCCAGCAGCCCATACAACATGACAAGGCCCATAACATATCTAATGATTTTCATAGGCCTATTATACATAGGGTATGTGCACTATGAAAGGAGTGGACACTAGAATGGATCAGCGCCGCCCAGTAATCTAATATAATACACAACAGGACAGAACTTTGAACAAATTATTTATTTTGGAATAGTAACAATTATACAATTATGATAATTAGGAAATAGTGTCACTATTCCTAAGTCCACTAACGGATTTTGACACATCTTCTGAATCCACACAGATATCAGCGGCAGGATGTGTGTCTGCACATCGCTCCATTATCTGCATGGATGGAGCCATCGCCTGGGTTTCTATTTCGAAAACCACTTTCAGACCGGCGAATAAAGCATCTTCTTGCCGCTGTAAGGCGTTGATGAGCCGGATTAAATTCTCGACGTTATCTTCGTCGATTACAAATAAGGACCAGTGCAACAGCAAAAGATCCGGCTCGTATTTTAAAATCAACTGCCTAAATTGACCTAGATCTCCGAAATCCATTACAAATAAGGACCAGTGCAACAACAAAAGATCTGGCTTGTATTTTAAAATCAACCGCCTAAATTGACCTAGATCTCCGAGATCCATTGCAAAATAATTTAAATTGCCCAATTATTTTGGTTTAAATAGTTTCCCGCTTGCGCTTGCCTTTTTAGATGTTTTAATCCTGGCCGCAGATCTGGGAGCGGAGCCCCTAGCCGACAACACGCCACAAATTGCGGAAGGGAGCACCAATCGGGAGACGACACGTGGCGCGGGGGGAGCGTTCCAGTAATATTATAGGGACGCTCCTGGGATCATATATAAGTCACTCCCTCACTCTCCTATACTAGTAAAGTTTTTAGAGAGTGACTTGCGTCATCCGAGAGAGTGAGTGACGTCATTGAGAGTGAGTTATGGCCTCAATACGACGTCGCTTTAGAGTTCAAAACAAGAACATCTTCCTCACATATCCAAAATGTTATGTATCTAAAGAGAGATTGTTAGAGAAAATTAGAGAGACGTTCACAAACAGGCCACCAAATTATGTGAGAGTTGCACATGAATTACATGAGGACGGTGAACCACATCTTCATGCTCTTGTCCAATTTCCATACCGTTTTCAGACACAGGATGAACGGTTCTTTGACGTTACACACGATCAAACTAATCGTCATTTCCATCCAAATGTACAAGGGGCCAACAACCATCAGAATGTGTTGGAATACATCTCCAAACACGGAGATTACACGGAATGGGGAGAATTCCGTCAGAGGGGCCGCTGCGCTAACCAGAACAACAAAGAAAATATATACCATGAGGCTCTTGCAGCCGGAAGGAAAGAAGAAGCTATGGCATTGCTATACGACAAGTTGTCATCCAATTACGACAAACTTTCATTTACTCCGCCATTGCCGTATGTTCATCAATTTACAGATACAGTGTGGATCGTTCCAACAGCCATACAATAATGAGTTGCGAAAAATATAAGGGATGAAGCCCAAAGACCACACAGGCCCAAGAGAATTATAATTGAAGGCCCATCTAGAATTGGGAAAACATGTTGGGCCCGATCTTTAGGGCCGCATAATTATTATTCTGGCCATATCGACTATTTCCTAATACTTATATATGTACTTACATATGTATGGCCCACGCTTGGAGCCCGGCGTGTTTATGTTTATCTAAAAAATCTCTGTAACTAGAATCGGCTTCGGGATTGCATAATATAATACTTAGAATCCCGCCTTTTATTTTCTTTGGGCGGGCATATTTACAATTTGACTGATTATTTGGCCCAGTATTGATTATTAATGGACCGCGTGTCGGCAGAATCATGTCGCGCCGACTAGATAATTCAGGCCCATCCCAAATTAAACTTGCTGACGACCGTGCAACTATTATCCTTTGGCCGAAGAACCGTATTGGCCCATTTGTGCAGACGCACATCCTGTTGTGAATAATTTGGTCCTTATTTGTTCAATGAATGAACGAGTGTATGATCTGTTTATATTTGGTTGATAGGAAAAGGAAAAGGAAAAGGAAGCGGAATGGGGAGAAAGAAGAGTGTAGGAGATCTGAAGAAAGTTGATTTGAAAGGAAAGAGAGTGTTTGTGAGGGTTGATCTCAACGTTCCTTTGGATGACAATTTCAACATCACCGATGATACCCGCATCCGAGCTGTTGTCCCAACCATCAACTACTTGATGCCTCATGCTTCCAAACTCATCCTCTGTTCCCATCTGGTAACCACCAAACCAACATCCTCCTCTCCTCCTCAAATATTACTACTCTTTTTCTTTTCTTTGCTAGGTCATGGTTTGGTTATTCATCTTTTCTTTCACTTTTCCATTTTTTTTGCTAAATTTATGGGTCTTTTGTTTTTTGAGATACAAAATAGCTTCATCTTCGGCGGAATGGGGAGAAAGAAGAGTGTAGGGGATCTGAAGGAAGTTGATTTGAAAGGAAAGAGAGTGTTTGTGAGGGTTGATCTCAACGTTCCTTTGGATGACAATTTCAACATCACCGATGATACCCGCATCCGAGCTGCTGTCCCAACCATCAACTACTTGATGCCTCATGCTTCCAAACTCATTCTCTGTTCCCATCTGGTAACCACCAAACCAACATCCTCCTCTCCTCCTCAAATATTACTACTCTTTTTCTTTTCTTTGCTAGGTCATGGTTTGGTTATTCATCTTTTCTTTCACTTTTCCAATTTTTTTGCTAAATTTATGGGTCTTTTGTTTTTTGAGATACAAAATAGCTTCATCTTCGACAGGGTTTTGTTAGCTTATGCTACTACTGGCACACTTCATCAGATTATAATTTGAAACTAAAATTTGTCCTAGTATATTTTGTCTACTTGTTTTGCTACGAGTTTATTTTGTTGCCAATGCCATTTGATGTGATTTACATTTTTTTATTTTGTTTCTCTGGTTTGTGCAGCCGGATTTGTTTGCATTGAATTACATTTTATTTCTTTCTTTCTGCCATGGGAAATTTTAATATACATCCCTTTAAAACCAGAGTATGGTATACATCCCTACTTGTGATATTATTTTAGTTAGAAAATAAAATAAAATTATGATATTATTATGGTATACATACATCCCTACTTGGTATACATTTTTAAAAAAAATTATGATTCAAAAAATTAGAATTATTTTATTTTTTTTAAAGTTATTAGGTGCATATGAAGGGGTGTGCACCAGTGTTTCCCTTCTGTCATTGGTTTACATTGGATTCTACTATATATTTTGATCAGTGATTGATTGATGTCACCTAAAATACTTGTTTTTTGCTGTGATATATTTTTCTCCCTCTTGTGTTTCCCTGTTAGTTGCCACCAAGGATCATCTAAAGTGTTTTTTTCCTAAAGTTTCCTAAAGTGGTGTATTGTGTGGTTGAGATTTAATGCTGAAAAATTGATGTGACTTGTCATTAAATCTCAACGACACAATGCACTACTCTAGGAAACTTTAGGAAAAAAAAACTCTAGAGGATCATTGCTCGTTAGTTGCTTGGTGGGGTATATTACCAACCCTCTTCTAGAAATGAATAAGAATGAAAGAACCATTTTTAAGTTTTATTCTAGCGGAAATTGTTCCCCCCAATAGTTGCCACCAAGGATCATCTAAAGTGTTTTTTTCCTAAAGTTTCCTAAAGTGGTGTATTGTGTGGTTGAGATTTAATGCTGAAAAATTGATGTGACTTGTCATTAAATCTCAACGACACAATGCACTACTCTAGGAAACTTTAGGAAAAAAAAACTCTAGAGGATCATTGCTCGTTAGTTGCTTGGTGGGGCATATTACCAACCCTCTTCTAGAAATGAATAAGAATGAAAGAACCATTTTTAAGTTTTATTCTAGCGGAAACTGTTCCCCCCAAAATACTTGGGGGATTCTAGTCTATAAGCACCTAAGAAGTAAAAAAAAATTATTAAATTTGAAAAAGTCTGCTAAAGACAAGAAAGATTGAAAGCTGGGGCCAAACGAAGCCTAAAGAAATAGAGGGATTAAAATGGCTTATTTCAAATTTTAGAGACAAGGGGAAGGGGAAAAGGCGGGAGTGGGCGAAGTAATTAGATCCTGTGGATGTCTTTTGTTGACATGGAAAGCAGTAGAAGGCCATCTTTATGCCTGAAAATTGGTCAATGTCCAATTGCCAAAGTTAATGAGACTAAATGGAACTATTCGCTTTGGATAATAGCTAGGCATTTGAGTTTAGTTTCTATTCCATTTTCTAACTATGTATTGTTTTATTTTGGTAGTTTAAATATGTTGAAAATGTAACTTATGCGATTTGTAAAAAAAAAAACCACATTGTTAACTATATTTTTTGAATTTTGGGTTGCAGGGACGCCCAAAGGGTGTCACACCAAAGTATAGCTTGAAGCCTCTTGTGCCTAGGCTGTCTGAGCTTCTTGGTGTTGAGGTTTGTTTACTTCTATTTTTCCAGATCTTTTTGTTGGCTTACTTGTCAGTCCATGAAATGCTTGCTAATCTTGTTTAGGTCAAGATGGCAAATGACTGTATTGGTGAAGAAGTTCAGAAAATGGTGGCTAAACTACCAGAAGGGGGTGTTCTTCTTCTGGAAAATGTGAGGTTCTACAAGGAGGAAGAGAAGAATGATCCTGAATTTGCAAAGAAGCTGGCATCCCTTGCAGACCTCTATGTGAATGATGCATTTGGCACTGCTCATAGAGCACATGCTTCCACAGAGGGAGTGGCTAAGTATTTGAAGCCTGCTGTTGCCGGATTCCTTATGCAGAAGGTTTTTAGTTTCTATTTTATTGGTTCATTTTTCTTTAAGAAACAAAATATAACCATTTAAAATCTGTATGTGCACATAAAAACTGGGTAAATACATGTTCAGCACCATTCTCTGGCAGAATTAAGACACTGGAGATTTTAAAGTTTTGAATTTCTGAACAATTGTCAAAGAAATATATGAATATACCTTAGTATGACTTGTTCGTGCTCAACCTGTCAAAAATCTGAGCTTTGCTTGCTAAGCCTCACAGGTTGTAACATCTTGACTTATTTTTTGGTTTTAGGAACTCGATTATTTAGTTGGAGCTGTGTTGAACCCCATGAGGCCTTTTGCTGCCATTGTTGGAGGCGCCAAGGTATCGAGTAAGATTGGTGTGATTGAGTCTTTGTTGGAGAAGGTTGACATGCTCTTGCTAGGTGGAGGTATGATTTTTACATTTTACAAGGCCCAAGGGTACTCAGTTGGATCCTCCCTAGTCGAGGAAGACAAGCTTGACCTTGCCACATCACTTCTCGCGAAGGCTAAGGCTAAAGGGGTGTCTTTAATGCTCCCTTCTGATGTGGTTGTTGCTGACAAGTTTGCCGCTGATGCCAACAGTAAGGTTGGTCTCTCTCTCTCTCTAGTAAAATAAGTATTCTGATCACGTGTTCAGGATTAGCTTGAGATGAAATCCTCCAGCCTTGACATGTTCGTTGAATCTGATTTAGTATTAGTTTCAAGGATGCTAAGTTAGGGGGTGAAAATGAGGAGAAATTTTCCTTTCTAATATGATGTTCATGGCTGTGATTGTCTGCATTTAAGTGAATACTTTAGTTGATTGCAAAACTAATATAACTGGTTACAGTGTGGTTGAACATTAGTAATATATGTTTTGCAGATTGTCCCAGCATCTGGTATTCCTGATGGTTGGATGGGATTGGACATTGGACCTGATTCCATCAATGTTCGTTGAATCTGATTTAGTATTAGTTTCAAGGATGCTAAGTTAGGGGGTGAAAATGAGGAGAAATTTTCCTTTCTAATATGATGTTCATGGCTGTGATTGTCTGCATTTAAGTGAATACTTTAGTTGATTGCAAAACTAATATAACTGGTTACAGTGTGGTTAAACATTAGTAATATATGTTTTGCAGATTGTCCCAGCATCTGGTATTCCTGATGGTTGGATGGGATTGGACATTGGGCCTGATTCCATCAAGGTCTTTGGTGAAGCATTGGATACCACCAAAACCATTATTTGGAATGGACCTATGGGAGTGTTTGAATTTGAAAAGTTTGCAGCAGGAACAGAGGTACAAAACCCACGTGATCTTATTTATAGCATTGGCATCATCCTTGTGCTATAATGATCAAACCTTGAAATGGAGGGTGGTTGTAGTTTAAAACCTGTTTTCATTACTTTTATAGTTCAAGTCCCTTTCTACTATTATGCTAAGGCGATTGATTACATGACTACATTGTAGATTGCATATGTTACTGAGGGATGTGTATTATTTTTTCTTTGGACAGGCCATGGCAAAGAAACTGGCAGATCTCACTGGCAAGGCGGTGACGACAATAATTGGAGGAGGCGACTCTGTTGCAGCTGTTGAGAAGTATGGGCTTGCAGACAAGATAAGTCACATCTCAACTGGAGGTGGTGCCAGCTTGGAACTTCTCGAGGGAAAATCACTCCCCGGAGTTCTTGCCCTTGATGATGCTTGAGTAACGCATGGTTCCCGTTCCCGTTTATTGTGTGTCTTTTGTTGATGCTTTATATCTGGGGTGGTTTTTGATCAGAGCGGATTCGAATCATAATGGACTTGAACTTTGTAGAGTAATAGATCAAGTTTGAATAAAGTTGATTGTAGTGGGATTGATCGATTTGCTAGGCAAATGTGAATCTTCCGTTTGGTGAAAGAGTTGTTACTGATTCAGCTTAGGTTGGTTGTTTTGAAAAAAGCACCCCCCCCCAACTGACTCAGAATAATTTGGTGTAGCCTACTGGTAACCTGATTGAACTCATTAGCATGTTTGTGCATAATTTATGGGTATTGCACTATCCATTTCCATTTGTCTTAATTAAATCAAATGGGCTCAGTCGGTCCATGGAGAAAAAAGTTTCTATCTAAATGAATAACCGTATCAAATTATGCCTCTATGTGGGGTGCCTTGTACAGAATAGTGTAAAATGACCATCTATGTTTATGCCCTGACGGTGTGTATTTTTATTTTGGGGGTTATTTATATTTTACTATTTTTTCAATTATTATTTGATATTGATTTAATCTCTTAATTTTAAATCCAAACATCTAGATTATTTAGTTGTGAAAATGATTTCACTTTCACTTTTTCTTTTTTCTTTTTTAAATATTTTTTTAGAATAAAGTTTTTATATGATTTTTAACATTTTAAAGTAAAAAGTAATAATATGATATTTAATGAAAAAAATGAGATAAAATGTGATTATTTATATATTTAGAATAATTTTTTTTTTTTAAAAAAAAAAAAAGAGAAAAAGGTAGAGAGAAAGAAAGGGGCCCTCCTAGAAAGGAATTGAAAAGGAAGGAAGCTATAATTGCAAGTATGCAATCGTACGAGTCAAATTTAAAATTTGCACTTGAATCTTGATACTTTTACTTGCGAGTCCTGGTGGTGGTGGGTTGGTTTTTCCCTTGCCCTATTTTTGGGTCTGATGGCTCAAATGGAAGTGGTGGTGGTGGTGGGATCATCATGGCTAGTTTATCGAAATTCGTGTACGTATGTGAGGTTGTTGTTGAGCCCTTTCTTCCCATCGTCAAAGACAAACAACTTCAACACTAGTACTAGGATGCGACGACATCTACTACACCATCATCGTCATCTGTCTTTGTTTGCCAAATCAATTAAACAACAACCTCATCCACTGCCTCTTTCTGTTTCTGTTTCAACCCCTCCTTCGGTGCTTCCCAAAGACAAAGACAAAGACTCTCCTCTTTCTGGTTCTTTTTCTTTTCTTTTCTTTCACTAGTTTGCTTGCTTACGTTGATTGCCATGTCCATTTCTACATTATTAAATTTGCATATTTATTTGTTCATTATGGCTTCTGTTTTTTCTGTTGTAATTCATGACGGTGGTTCTCTTATGTCTTTCATTTATTATTATTTAGGGTTGGAAGATGTGATGATGGGCTATATCTTTGGCAAGAAAAAGGCCACTCAAGTTGCTCACTCGTAGGTACTCCCTCCCATCTTCTAACTTTTTAACCTTTTAACTGCTTCATTTCATTCTAAGATGATGGATAACAAACCAACTAGTCTTCCCTTTATTAAAATCGCCAAAATTTTGTGCACTAGAGCTTAAGCCTTTGTTTACCTTGCTAATTCAGATAATCCCTTAGGATTTTTATAATAATATTGAGTGTATAAAACACACAACAGACTAATGTTATGATGACCAAATTTGGAATTCTAAATTTTGGATATCTCATCTCAAGTATCGAATGCATTGGTTTCACATCCAATGGCATCCAAAATTTGTTACCCAAATTTCCATCACCATAGGTTGAGCTCTCTTGTAGTTAGAATTAGTTGTTTCAGGTACTACTCAATTAGCCAATATCTTGGACTGTTTACCTAGGTGTCGATTGTGACTGCATTGTTAGCTTGTTATTTCGTGCAATTGGTGGAAGCTCATTTGAGAGCTTTAATAGCTTGTTATTTTCTTCTTCTTCTTCTTCTTCTTCTTCTTCTTCTTCTTAGGTCACTAACATTTGAGATCTAGCTTCCCATCTCTTCTATCGACGAAGCCATTAAAGCTACACTTATGCCTGGCTTGTACACAATTAAGAAATTATTGGGCAAGCATAATACTAAACAAACTGAGTTGGACCTTATGTCAGTAACCATCAAATTAATTAGCCTTAAAATGTTAGGTTCTGGAGATGGTACTCTAATTATGGTGAAAAATTGATTGCTTGACGACATTTATTTTTCCCTTTCCTTCCTCATCAGGGTATGGAGGCATATTGTCCAGAAAGGTGATACAGTTATTGATGCCACTTGCGGCAATGGTTATGATACCTTAGCCATGGTCAAAATGGTTGCTGATAAGACACATTGTGGACATGTGTATGCAATGGATGTTCAAAAAGTTGCCTTGGAAAATGCTTCGTCTTTACTAGATGAATCACTTACTTCATATGAGGTGCCCCTTCTATCCAATTTTCTATTGGTAAACTGCACAAGGCAGAAAATTGAATTTGCGACTGACAATCTCCCCCTTCGTAATCGTATTATCCCTTATGATACAATACAAGTATATGAATTGGTCTTGAATCTTATTCAATTGGATTCCATATTGCTTTCTATTCAATATGGTCTGGTAAACAGGTGCAAAAGTAGGAGTGGGAAAAACACATTGATGTTATAGTCGGTAATCAGTGTTCATGTCAAATATTTACCGCTGTTGATTTATTGAATTTCTTATCTCCTTAGAGAGGACTTGTTGAGCTCTTTGCCATTTGCCACAGTAAAATGGAGGAAGTTGTTCCAAAGGGTGTCCCTGTGAGGTATGTAATGCAAATCAAGTTACTTGATGGTGCTGGTAGTCATTGAGCTGTTTGCCCGGACTATTTTTAAAATTCTAAAACTTTTTTTTTTGGTCACTACATTCCCCAAATTTGTTTCTCCCCTTGGTTTTGTTTTGTTTTTAGGCTAGTCGTGTTCAACCTGGGCTACCTTCCAGGTGGTGACAAAGCACTAATAACAAGGTCAGAAACAACACTACAAGCACTGGAAGCTGCTAAGAGAATGCTAGCATCCGGAGGGCTCATCAGCATAGTGGTTTATGTTGGCCATCCTGGAGGAAGGTAATAGTTCTTGAACCAGTTTTTTGCAGTATTAAATCTTCTTTCTTCTTTTTTTTTTCTTTCCCCTTTGGGATATCGTGTTTAATTATTTTTCACATTTTCATGGGTGGCTGATAAAAAAGGACTCAAGTGTGTTGATTGCGAAGATGTTTACAAAATTGACAACAATCACAGATACTTGTATGCTTGTAGTTAAAATGGATTAAAGTGTGGTAGATGCTTCTTTTTGTTTTTGGTTTTTAACAGTAGGTTGCATTATGGTAGATGCTAAGAGCTTAACTTCTGCTTATGATATTATATAGGGAGGAATACGAGGCAGTACAAGCTTTTGCTTCTGGATTACCTGTTGAGAATTGGATCAGTTGCAAACTTCAGATGCTGAACGACCATTGGCTCCTCCAATACTTGTTCTTGTTTTGAAGAGATAAATACGCATTTGCTTTACTTTCTGTAACAGCTCTTGAATTTTTATACATTCTCTAGTTTGGTCTTTCATTTGTTTAGATTTCAATATAATTGCTTTCAACTTAACTTTGTATAATAAGATCTGTTTTTCGGAGTCAATCTGATTCACCTTTCTATGCCTTTGGATTGAGAATTTTGGATGGATCTGGTTGAACTCTTCCTTTGAATCTGATCTTTACTGTCATAGTGTTTTTCAGGTTACATGGATTAGCCCTTGTTTGTGTCTTAAAAATCAAATGGGCTGGACCAAATCTCTAATCCACTATTCTTTCACTCTGTTGTCTCTTTTAAACCAAGAGGGATGGACCAAAATCTCTCTTTCAAATAAAACCTGTCCAGACCATTATTTATGCTCATCTACGAAGCTTAATAGCTAAAACGTGGTATTGATACAGTTGCTAAACAATAAAGTTTCTAAAACAGACAGGCCATTCATATATCATGTTGGTAAACAGCAACATGCATCATTCCAATTGGATGTCTAAATTAAGGGCTGATATTGTGAACACTTTTCCAGTGTAATTTTTTTTTTTTTTTTTTTTCAAGTACCACCAGCCTAGCAAATGAAATGCAAAATGACATTTGTCGCAGTTTCCTAATTTTCATATCCTGTTTGACAAATAAACTCCAAATCAAATAGCTTAAAAAGTTACAACTCCAGTTCTTTATTCATAGGTGTGATTATGAGGTCCAAATTTAAAGCTTTCGAAACTCAAGAAAATGAGACACCCCAGATACATAATTCACTTGTTCCAGATACAATCTCTTTCGTCAAAATCCCCAATGACTATCAAACAAGGTAAACCTCATGCTGTGCATGTAGCCAACAAGTGTCTGATGCAATGGCATTAACATTTCATGAAGAAGAAGCTGAGACAGGCGTGTCTGGATGCGCTCCCCATTCTGTCCATGACCCATCATAGACTGGAACATCAGTCTTCCCAAGTCGATGGAGACCCTGAAAAAGATGAGCAGCGATCATGCAAGGGTAATATGTTTTTTCTTCTCTTGGCCAAAAACCAAGTTCAAACTCAAAAGCCATCTCTCTTCACAATTTTAGTAGAAAGTACAATAAGACGTGTTTAACTACAATAAACCCAGTTTCGTGTCAAAAGATGCAATTGTTCAGCCAGAAGAAGAGTGTAAAATTTTCCCTGGCAGTATTACAACCAACTCCCTTCCCTGTCTCTAGTGTGCACACAGATTTTTTTATTTTTAGTTTTTTATTGGTGGGGGAGGAAAAAGATTCAGAGAATAAAAAAAAACCCAAAACAGGAGGATTTAAGAGCAATGTGACATGGGAAACAAGAAAAAAGTTCACCAGGGTAAGAATGCAAGCAGTTACACCAGTGCCACATGAAGTTACAACAGGGCTGTCCAAAGAGATGCCTGCACAATCGTATACGGTTGGATTGTTAGAATCCACTAAGCAGACATCAAATGATTTATAATATTACCAACTAAAGTGAACAATGAAGCACCTGATAATAAGGAAATAATATAGCTGGTCACCACATATTGATGTCTTGAAATGTATTTTTGTAATCACAGGACGTAATTTTAAGTATGCTGACACAATACTGTCCATAACTTTTTTTTTTTTTCCTTAGATATTAGAGAGAAAAGTTAAAACATTATGACAGTCGAATTTCCTCGTACATTTTTTTTTCAGAAGTTCTTAGTTCCTTTCTTTAAAAATATTAATAACAAGTTGTCATTAACATTTCTGTAACGTCCTAGATCTAGCCAGTAAGAATTTCTCCCAATTTTTAGCTTATTAGTGAACATAGCAAGTGTACACACATGAAATATACAAGGAAATGGACACATACTTCTATTGGTAGCTGTACATTAAAAAAATATGCACAAAAGTAGTATATGCGTATATCCTTCGTAATCCCCATGTTATCACACAAGTAACATAACCAGTGATTGAGTCAGTCACTTCTCCACAAGAATCACATCATACTCATGCAACCACAAGTACAACAAAGTTGGAATAACTGGAAAACCAGTAACATTAGCAAACATAATCAACCACACTAGCATATGTAGCAAAAGCAAAAATGCATTTCAGTGATACAGAAACAAACATACAAATGCATTTGTACACTCATGCACATAAACATCTTTACCTTCTTGATCAAATCTTTTTTTAAGCTCGTCTGCAGGTAAAAGTGTCTGTGAGCCATCCAACATCTGCAAGAAATAATTGAACATTTAGTGAAACAAACGGCAGATCAAAAACAGCTTTAATGAAAAATAAAAGTCTGACAATTAAGAAAGATTTCAAACTAAGAAAAAGGAAAGAAGGCTGATGTCTAATAAAACATAAGATTAGCAAGTCCAAACCAGGTTAGTTTCACTGGATTAGGATAAAGTCCTTGCTAAATTCCCAAAACATAAAAAAAGAAAAAAAGAAGAAAAAAGGAAAAGAGAGAAGTGGATGTTTTTAGGTTCTAAAAGCTAAATTACATGACGGAAACCTTTTTTTTCCCCCTATTCTATTTTCTATTTCACCATTCTTGGCTGATCCACAAAAGTAACAACAATCAAAGCCATCAATGGGTATTCAAAAGGCTACCTTTTTAAAAATATTACCAATACTTGTTAGATTGTTGGCACACTACATGGAACACTAAAAGGAAGCAATGAACTAAGAAGAGGCACATAACAACTACCTCCTCAAAGAAGAAAGGTCCTTACAATTACAGGACTCAAATAATTAAAATGGTGGACAGTGAAGTCATCTTCGTATTTGGTGAAACAGTTTGTAAGAAAAAAGCTAGGTACACTAGAATCATAAGATGAAAAATCTCATGGCCAGCAAAAGCCCGGACCAACTTCAACTTCAATGCCCTTATTTAACTTCAACTAACTGAAGATAAGGCCTCATAAAGAACCAACTGGGGCTGATGGATCCATGGAACTGATTGTAAAAGAAACTAAGCCTTGTGAATTTTCAATTAAACAAACGGACCAAAATAACAAAAGATAAATATTTTACCTGGGGAAAAGGAATACACTTGCTGCCAGGTACATGACCACTTCTTATCCCCTTTCTAGGTTCTGGAGCAACCCCATCAAACCTGCAAAAGATTGAAATCTCCATCAAACCCAATAATGAGTTTCACGAACAAGGGAATCCATCCCATTCATATGTGCATCAGAAACGCTTCTGAAAAGGTAAACAAAAATTTCAGACTTCACTCCAGCTTAAGATGAATTTTCTGGACAATCTGGATCACCCCTAGCCTCATTTTTTATAGAACAAGAGGATACTACAGACTTTGAAATTCATACTATCAAGGGTTGTCAAATTCAACCATATGCAGCCTCTTTTTTGTAATAATGGAATTAGCACAATAATCAATTCCTACACTGATTGAAAACTCATATGAGCAGGATCTTGTCATCTGGGGGATGGAGTTTACACCCAAAAATTTTGACTGTCCGTGATCTAACATACAAATGAAAAAGTTCTTATGCAAATTTATAATATGTCAAACGTTGCCAAACATATATTCATAGCATTCAAATTATGAGATCACTTTTATATACTTCAGCTAAAATCATGATTTAGTTCAGCTGGAGTCCATTTGTAGCAGAAAGAATTGAAATTTCGATTCCATTTCTGCCAAAGTATCTTCCAAATAGCCAATTCCATACTCCATGTTATCAAAATGAATGTTCTTTTTACAAAAATAATGCAAAAGGTATTCTAGTGTCGCTAAGTTTGAATTCCCCAGATCAATCAAAGTGGTCTCGTGTGATCTCATGCACCTCATATGGTTGGCAATAAAAATAGAGGGATTTGGTGATAGACTCTTTATTGTCTAATTTGTCTTTTAAAAGGACAAGAATTATATAGATCTTTCAAAACCCCATAATATTTTAAAACTTGTTTCTTTTACTATACTACCCTCACACACACACACACACACATATTTTAGCTCTCCTATAAAGTCATCCTCACAGTGTATTTCAGAGTAAAATTTTTCTCTGAATCAGAGTAAAATTTATTATGATTCAGAGAAAAATTCATATTGTTAAGCACATATATTGCCTTAAGAGATAAATTTTACTCTCACTTTATCAAACAAAAATAGAGAACATACCAGAATAAAATTTTACTCTCATTTTATCAGACAAAAACATACCACGTATCAGAGTAAAATTTTACTCTCATTCTGTCAAACAAAATCAGAGCACATACTAGAATAAAATTTTACTCTCATTTTGTCAAACAAAAACAAATGACATACTAGAGAAAAAAGTAGAGAAATAGATAGATAGAGAGAGCAAATATATTGCCTTAGATCTAGTTCAAACCAGAGTAAAATTTTACTATCTGAAAAACAGAGCATGATGAGGAGACAGAGAAAAAGAGGGACAGAATATAGATTTGAGATGATAGATCTCAAATCTGAGGTCATCAATCTCAGATTTGAAGTCTTGGACGCTAAGGATGACGATGGTGGCATCGAATGGCGTTGGTAGTTGAGATGCTAGTGGTGAAACGGTGGAGGCAGTGACGAATTGCATCAACGGTTGAGACGGTGTTAGTGGAGACGACGAAGGCGGTGGAAACGATAGTAGTCATGGTAGTGGTGGTGGTGGTGTAGATGGTGGTGGTGGTGGTGGTGGAGAGAGCTCTTAAAAAGAGATAGAGAAAGAAAGAGCTGAGAGAGAGCTCTGAGAGAGAGAGAGAGAGAGAGAGAGAGAGAGAGAGAGAAGAGAAAGATAGATAGAGTGTGCATATGTAAAAGGGTAAATTTGTCACACAATATAAATCTGAAATTTTTTGTCCTTTATACAATACTTTATAATTATGAGGGGGTTTTGAAAATATAATTTTTTTTTTGGGTCCTTTTAACAAGAAAAGGAAGGCAAGAGGTGTTATTGGCCAAATTTCCAATAAAAACATCATTCTTCCTTGAAGTAGAAAATTCTAGCCTAGCAACGAGCATTTTCTAGGTGATTGAAAAACTCACTCTTCCGTGTCAGTAATTTCGACTGTATCCCTGTTTTGTATTCTCACCAACTTCAATTTAGCTATGCTATCATTCATGCTGTACTTTGCATTTATTTTCCTATGCATGTTTCACACTATTCCCTATGCATGCATGCATCACCCTAGAGGCATGCCATGAAATGAGAAGTCCTATAAGAAGTCCTTTGATAAAGTACTAGATTCATATAACAAGGTACCAAATGCCAAAGGTTTTAGGAATTTAAATATTATTTTAGAATTAGTACTTGATTATGAATTTTGTGATTTAGTATGAATAAAATGATTAGGTCTCTAAATTTATGTTGGTTTAGTTCTCCTATTTTATTGTTTTTCGTGCTCTACAAGAACTGGGTTTATTTTAGTTCATTATATATAGTTATGTAAGCCTAAAGGCAAAGATAGTTCATTGTTTTTTCAATTAAAAGTTCAAACTTCTATCTTTGAGAGTTATTTCTAATGCATCGAACCAACCAGGACGAAAGGCTCACGACTTTATTCCTTTGCCACCTCTGAACACCAAACTTGGAATTGGCCGCACCTAATCATATTTCCGGCCTTAAGTTGCGCATTCCTATTGTGCCCTGTGTTTGTTAATACTTCCAGTTGCTTTTGTGACAAATCCATTTTAAGAATGCATAAATGCCTCCAAATGCCAAGGACAGACAAACAACATTCATTAAGGATATCTGAAAGCACTCTCATTCTTTAACAACTAATCAATATGACTCTTTTTTGACCATGTACTCTCATGTTATTAGAAAGTTTTTACTAGAACTACTTATTCCAAATTACATAATAACTGTAGTGTGAAGGCATAATCAAATACTTCTGACTCATAGTGAATATGAGAACACCAAACCAAATAGATAACCAAAAAAAATGAAAGGTTAAGGATACCTGGTCTTTGAACGGGCATCCAAGTGTTGATGTGTTTTGTCCTCAATGTTTTTCTTAACCTGAAATACATTGAGAAAATTTAAGTTGAATGAGAGCAAATTGTGGCATTTAAATATTAACCAAACACATGAAGAGAATTTATTCTTAGCAGATTGGAATGTCAGACATAGTGAGACAAAACCTATATCCATGTAGCGTTAAGTCCATCTCTTTTTGCTAAAATGCATGATTATGACTTACCAATGAAACTAGTTGCCTAAAAGATTTATTACTTCATTATTTTATGGTGTTTGATCTGCTATGACAAAGATGCATATTTTATTGTAAGCATCAGATGACTAGTATATATCATAATAGCACACTATCAAACACACCTCAGAGCACACACATGGAGAGCTTGATGACAGGTTAATGGCTTACCAGAAGGCATTGGCTCCACATTGTAAAATGAAATAAAAAAAACTTGTAATTTTATAAAAAAAAAAAAAACATTAAAGTGACCTGTTCGAGTGTCCAGACAAGATGTGGCTGAAATTTGGTCTGAAATGTAATTGGGCCAACCTGCAAAAATCAAATGGTTTGAACACGCTGTATTCTAGCCAAGAAAATGCAGAAACAAAACAACGATTGAAATAAAATAGTGGAATGCAAATCTGAAAAAGACATTGCATGACAAACTCAAACATAGCAGCCTGAAAAGACATAAGAAAAAGATTAACCACAAAAGGGCAAAAAAAAATATATTTTTTTTAATAAATAAAGAAAAACGAAAAAGTAGATATTGCCATCTAAATAACAGTTCCTGTCTAATTTTCTGCGTAGTAATTGCATAAAGTTAGTACAAGCTTATACAAAAAGAACAGTTGCATAAAGTTAGTAAGAAATTTCTTGAAGAGTTTGCAGATCTAGAAAAAGAACAAACCACAAAATCTAAGAGATAAAAGCAGAACAGTTCATGACATAAGAGAAGAGGTATTCTTCTTCTGAGAAAGATGTTAATTTTGACAGGTTCAGAAGCTCTCTCCTTGTGACATCCTTACTAAGATTGTCATGAACAAGAGGGGTACAGTTTAGCAATAAAAAAGAACATATTCAATTTCTGTTTTCATTGAATGTACCTGTGTAATATTTACATATATGGACCATGAAGAGGCATAACACTGATTTGAAAACAACACTAAGGCAGATAACAAATAAACTTACAGCTTGTCCATGATATACTCTCTCTATTGCCTCACTGGCAGCACTTGCTTTCAAAATAGCATCACTAGAAGCACTAGATTCAACATCAAATCCCGAAGCACGCCATCTGGGCAGGCCACCATCTAACACCCATACTCTATCATGCCCAAATACTCTGAACATCCTGTTCATGCAATTAAATAAAATTAATTATTCAGTTAACATAACTGGGGAACATGATATGAAAAAAATAGTATAAGTTTTACAACTTACCACCAAACTCGAGCTGCACTGAAAATTCCCTTTCCGTCATAAACAACTACCCCATCTTTATTCTCTATACCAAGGGCAGAAACAGCGGCAGCAAATGCTTCTTCTGATGGTAACATGTGTGGCAACTGAGACACACCAATTAATCATGTAAAGTTTTGGTAAATTTCATTTCCAAAGCACTAACAACATGAACACACATAAGCATCAAAGAAACCATCTTACCTTAGTAGTTCGATCGGATATACCATCTACATCAAAGAAAAGGGCACCAGGAATATGGGCAACCTGTTAAAGCAACACCACGCTAAATCAATACCAAAGAAAAACAAAAACTCAGAAGAATTGAACAGACAATGTAATCATCCAGTTGGAGTCTTGGAGTTTCATGTAAAACAAATCAGTATTAAATAGTTCAAGAGTATAATCACAGTCAATACCTGATACTCTTGAAGTGGATTCCTCTGTTCATCTGGCATGTACCAGGATGCATCCAACACCTGAAAAGGTAAAAAACAGAATATTATGATCATGACAAGCATCTAGAAAATGCAACTATTATCGACATTTTGAGTAAAAATAACTACCAGAAGCAAAACTATTAGGTAAGCTTTCAGAAACTTATTTCCTTGTGGCAAACAAATGCCAATGCGGCCACTACCAGAACAAATCATATAATCAGCAGAAACAAGCATCAAGAGCATACCTTCATATCAGGCTCTCTGAGGTTTGCACGGAGCCAGTCAACTGACACAACAGGTTCATTAGTCGACATGGATTGCGTTGAAAAAGAAGCTTTTGACCCTCCTAATGATGAGGCACAAGAAACAAAACCAGAAGTTTTGTACACCAAATAGGCAGGAGAAGCCTGCAAGTGTAATGGTCTCTTCTACAAGTAATAATAAATATATAACATTAGATCTTGACAGAAAAGAACACAATAATTAAGAATTATAGCAACGGACAGAAACAATCACTAGTCCAAGAACTTGAGAATGGTACGAAGCTAATTTATTTATTTATTGGTAAGCGAGCTAATATCTTTTCCTAAATTATAATCAAATTATAAACCATCAGAAGACTAATCAAAGATAAAAGCATAGAATATGGCTTCCAACAAAAAGTAGTTTTTTTTTTTTTATATAAAAATAAAAAATAAAAATGAAGACCTTCTTCATTTTGAATATTACTGAGTAAGAAGAAAAAAAGAAAAAGAAAGAGAAAGAGAAAGAGAAAGAAAGGAAACACAACAATCTTTACAACTTTGACAGACTGATTGTATAAACAGAAATAGAGCCCTAAATCGTCACAAGGAACTTTTTTTGTTTGGAAAGTATCAAAGAACAGTTTGTACACACTTGAAACGTTGTAGAAGCCCCAAAAGTGAAGTCACATAACCGTTCAAAACCCCTATTTCTAATTGCTAAAACCACTAAATTTGACAAAAAAAATCAAACGACTAGACAAAAAGAAACGATCACAAAGCAAAACCAGCAAATACAAAGACATAGATCATTAAAACACAGAGAGAGAGAGAGAGAGAGAGAGAGAGGTGTAGAAATACATGAATTGCGAGAGTTAAAGAAAGAACACATCAATCAGAATACATACATAATAAACAAGTGCGAAAGAAAGGGGATGGGGGTGAGGAACTTACATTGAAGAAAGATGTGAAGATTTGGGGCTTGGGGGAAGCGAGGGAGGAGAAGGAAGAATGAAGAAAGCGATGACGAGCAAGGAAAGTTCTAGATAGAAGAGCCGATGCCATTTATGCTGCAGAGAACATAGAGAAAGCCTAAAAAGCCAAAAGGCCAAAAATAAAAAGGGTTACTCTCTCAGTCACAGATATGGATGATGGATGGAATTTGATCGACTCGACTAGACTACACACACAGCTGCTGCTTTATACACTACTCTGCTGTCCCGAGAGCAGTAAAGGTCCGGCTTTTAAACCCTCTCTCTCTTATCGGCTGTTCTAGGTCTTGTTTGGTTGCGTATATTTTCTCGCATTTTAATGCCTTTTCCTTTTTTTTTATTTTTTCTCATAAATTTTTTGATTGCACATAGAGAAAATAGAGAGCAATTTTTCAAGTGACCAAGTATACTTTTTTAAAATTAATATTTGCTCCTAATTATTTAAACATATGCTTGATGTAGATTTGTTATTGTAATAAAATAATGTTACATGTACAAGAAAAAAGTACAAAAATATGCAATTTTTTATTTTTTTTGTTGTTGATGTATAACTTAAATTTATTTTAAATGTGATTCTCACCACAAAAATAATTAACTTAAGCTATGCACTAAAATAGTTGTGCACATAAGTCCTCCTAATTTAGCCATTTTTTAAAAGATTATAAAAATATATTTTAGTTCATATGGTGAGACTGAAATGAGTTTTTGGTCTTGTTTATTAAATGAGTTGGGGTTGAAGATAGTTATTGAAATCCAATTTTTATTTATTTATTTATTTATTATTATTATTAGTATAGTACCTACATAATTTATTTAGGAGTAATTTCATTTTATCCTCTTGTGATTTCGCACGTTTACACATTACCTTTTTGACTTTTATAAATGTACTTATAAACTCTCTGTGATTTGGAGTGATGTGCAAAAGTGACGGGATCTGACGGAATTAATGAAAAGACTAGAATACCCTTATTTTTTTCTTCAATTTTCTTATGAATGCCATTTTACTACCATAACTTTCTCTCTTTTAAATTGGGCTACCCAACCACTCCCAATGGTGTTACATCCACACAGTCACTATGAGGCACCATCTTCTCTACACAGCCTCTTTTACCCAAGGCATATCCACTCCATGACTGCTAACAATACCACCGATTGTGGTTCCTCTATCTCTCTCTCATCTTTCTCTCTCATATTCTTTCTCACTCTCTCTTCATCTTCTTTATCATGATCTTCTTCTTCTTTAATAGTAGTCTCTTTTGACCATCCCTTCAAATTTTCATTTCTTTCTCCCATCAGCTCCAAACTTTCCTTCTTAACTCCCCATTACATTTCTCTCTCTCTTTCTCTTTCTCTCATTTGCTCAATATATATATATACACACAGAGACATACATCTCTGTGTATATGATTAGTGTTATCTATTTGATTATTGGGTGGGTTTGATCTTTTCATAGTTCTGAATTTTTTATATTTGACAAAAACTAGAAGATGGGTAGTTGTTTGTCTACCATCAAGGTTAGTGGCTCAAACAACAACACCACCGTTGCCTCTGTAACCACCACCGTGACAGTCAGCAGAAACCGCAAAGAGAGCATCAAACCGTCGTCAACAATAACAACCACGACAAATTCGAATCAATAGAAAACACAATAAAGACATTTCAACAACAATAACAACAGGACAAGAATTCTCTGCAGATTAAGCCAAAGCGATCAAGCGGTGTTATTCCATATGGAAAGTGAACCGATTTTGGGTACAATAAAGATTTCGATAAAAGGTACACAATTAGAAGATTGTTGGGACATGAGCAATTTACTGCCATAACTTTCTCTCTCTTAAATTCTCTTTTTTCAACCTTTATCAATGGAAGATAAATTCTTATCATCTCATCAACTATCTACGACACTACCAACTGTGGTTCCTCTCCCCATCACCACCATTGATTGACCAAAACCTTCCCTCACTCATCCATCCTCTCTTTCTCTATCTGTATATATATATATATATATGAAATCTATCGCAAGGAAATATGTAACAACCCCGACTTAAGATTAATTGTTAAACCATGATTAAGGATGCTTAATACGTAATTAAGATGAAATCCTATGTTAATTACATGTGTATAGCATTATTTGTATCTATATTTGTTTATCGTAGAAATATATGTTCCTGTTTCTGTTTCGTTTTACACATTGACGGCCTTATCAGTATCCAATCACGAAATTGACTTAAGTTATGTGTTGTTTGAAATTTTTGGAATTTTATGGTAGGTCTAAGTAAAATCCGATTTGGAACAATTAAATTAGAATAATTAATGTCCATTTGATAAGTTTTAATTAATCACCACTAATCAAGCCTATATAAGGCTCCTATATGTGCCACCACTCATTTTTGTTTTCTCACTTTCTCTTCATCTTCTTCATCATGATCTTCTTCTTCTTCTTTAATAGTAGTCTCTTTTGACCATCCCTTCAATTCTTCATTTCTTCCTCCCATCAGCTCCAAACTTTCCTCCTTAACTCCCCATTACATTTCTCTCTCTCTTTCTCTTTCTCTCATTCGCTCAATATATGTATATATACACACAGAGACATACATCTCTGTGTATATGATTAGTGTTATCTATTTGATTATTGGGTGGGTTTGATCTTTTCATAGTTTTGAATTTTTTATATTTGACAAAAACTAGAAGATGGGTAGTTGTTTGTCTACCATCAAGGTGAGTGGCTCAAACAACAACACCACCGCTGCCTCTGTAACCACCACCGTGACAGTCAACAGAAACCGCAAAGAGAGCATCAAACCGTCATCAACAATAACAACCACGACAAATTTGAATCAATAGAAAACACAATAAAGACATTTTCAACAACAATAACAACAGGACAAGAATTCTCAGCAAATTAAGCCAAAGCGATCAAGCGGTGCTATTCCATATGGAAAGAGAACCAATTTTGGGTACAACAAAGATTTCGATAAAAGGTACACAATTAGGAGATTGTTGGGACATGAACAATTTACTGCCATAACTTTCTCTCTTTTAAATTCTCTTTTTTCAACCCTTATCAATGAAAGATAAATTCTTATCATCTCATCAACTATCTACGACACTACCAACTATGGTTCCTCTCCCCATCACCACCATTGATTGACCAAAACCTTCCCTCACTCATCCATCCTCTCTTTCTCTATCTGTATATATATATATATATATGAAATCTATCGCAAGGAAATATGTAACAACCCCGACTTAAGATTAATTGTTAAACCATGATTAAGGATGCTTAATACGTAATTAAGATGAAATCCTATGTTAATTACATGTGTATAGCATTATTTGTATCTATATTTGTTTATCGTAGAAATATATGTTCCTGTTTCTGTTTCGTTTTACACATTGACGGCCTTATCAGTATCCAATCACGAAATTGACTTAAGTTATGTGTTGTTTGAAATTTTTGGAATTTTATGGTAGGTCTAAGTAAAATCCGATTTGGAACAATTAAATTAGAATAATTAATGTCCATTTGATAAGTTTTAATTAATCACCACTAATCAAGCCTATATAAGGCTCCTATATGTGCCACCACTCATTTTTGTTTCCTTAATCACACCTTTGAGCCTACACACACACACAACAAGCGTGAGAAAATGGAGAACAAGGAAAAGATTTGAGCTCAAACTAAGGGATTTGTTAGGAAGAAGGAGAATTAGACTTAGAGACTTAAGAATTAAGCCTCTAGCTCTCACCTTGGAAAATCTAGGTAAGAATTCAACCTTTTGAATGTACAATTTTGATGTCCAAGCCATGAATTCATGAGAATGAAGTTGTGTAAGACAAGGATTGAGCTAGAACGGGAGGAGTTTAGATCATACCATGCATGCATGTGCATTTCATGGAGTTTTGATGTTGCTTTCAAGAGTATTCCCTCATCCATGTAATAATTCTAGTTTGGTTTTAAGAATTCACTACATCTCCTATCAAATGACCTTAATTGATCATGTTTTGGAAGGTTTGAATTTATATCAATGCATACATGTTATGTTCTTTAAATTTTAAGCATGAGTTTGCGCAATTAACTTACTCTTGGGCCTTGATTTTGTGAAATGGTTTTGAATTCAAGATGTTTTCCGTGTTTACACAAGTTTCCTTGAGTTTTTGGCCTAAGAGAGCATGTTTTGCAGCATTGAACTTGAGTTTTGAAGTTTAGAAGCAATTCTGGAAATTTCAGAATTCTGTTTCTATGCTCAAGCAACAGAACCTACACTCGAGCGACCACTCTGTGATCTTGCACTTCCGTTTGAGCGACCAAAAGTTGGCTCGAGCTTGAAATGCATGTTCCCAGAAGTTTACACATTTTGCAGACCGCTCAAGCGATAAGAGTTGCCTTTGAGCGAAGACCTTAGTCACATGCTCGAACAACCATGGAGGGTGCGTCAAGCAAAAAAATCAAGCAACCAGTATTTTTTTAGAATTTACAGACTGCTCAAGCGAAGGAAGTTACGCTTGAGCAGCCCCTCATATTTTTGACCCATCACTCGAGTGAAGGGAGTTGCGCTCAAGGGAGGCCTTTGTTTTTAGCATAATTGACTAGGTGTTTCAAAGTGCATTTTGACATCCTCATTGCATCCTTGGCCTTCCTAGGCCATGATTAAGACATGATAATGAGGATAAGACTTAGAAACACACTAAGAATGAAACACAATGATTGTAATGAATTCCGAGCGCGTGTTTCAATGTGTACATGTCATGTGTTGTTTGTAGGTCACATGCTGTAAGCTATTTGATTTGTCTGCTTCATCTGTTCTGCAATTAGAGCCATTTGTGAGTAATAACTTTGTGAAGCTATGTTCAATTATAAGTATTTTCTGAATGATATAAGATAACCTATTTTCTGAAATATTATTTTATGTATGAATGAATGATTGTCCAATGTTTCTGAAATGTATTCAGGCATCTTTAGCTTCAGATGACATCTATTATCTATTCTGTTACATCCTAATTATGGTCAAATTGTACGTCTCATGAGTCAACTGTATATGGATCCTTAAAAATATCCCATTTATGGGCCAACTGTACGTTTCATGAGCCAACTGTATTGTCTCCGTGCACACGAGTCAACTGTATGCCTTTATGGCCGTCCCTTATGGGTCAACTGTTTCTGCTAGTACTAATGGATGTACCACATATGATTAACTGCAATTTCTGATCATGAGAATGATGCTAATTCT